GTTCATTATTTTCCTCCTACAATGTTATTTGACTTCTCATTACTTCTCATGCTCTCCTATTGGATTACAGCTTCTGAGGGATGAGTCCAGCACAATGCCTGGCATGCAGGGGCAGCACTACTTTTGTTCAGATCTGAGAGCAGGGAGGGTTTGTTTCCGAGTGCCAGGCTGGGCAGGATCGATAGCAGGAGCACTCACTGTGGCCCACCTGATGGAGAAGACAGTGAAGGGGCCACACTTACGCAATCTGAAGAGCTCGGGTGCCCAGCACTCGGGCTCGCTCATACTTGGTCATGTATGGGGTGGTGATTCGCTTCTGGTTGGCCTGCGGTCGCTCCCCAGAAGGAAGGATCTCGACATTCTCCTGGCCCTCCTGGACACCAAGACAAAAAAGGAAAACTTCAGGGTACCTTCCTTGAGTGGGGGGAGGGTGAATGATGACCAACACCATTAATGCTTACTGGATGCCAAGGGCCATGCTACTGCTAGTACCTCGTTAATCTCCATACCAACCTTATGAGGTAGGAATTACAGTCCCCATTCCAGAGGTCTGGAGAGTCAGCTAACATTGCCAAAATTTCAGACCCAGTAATAAAGAAGAGGAATTATAAGTGGTATTCCAAAGCCCAGTTCCTCAACCAAAAGGGAGTGAAACAAAAAACTTCTAGGACCAGACTGGTTGCCCTATAAGAAGTCCATAAGCACACCCTAAGCAGAAAGCTAGGCAAAAACACCTCTCTTTCAGATAGGGACACTGAGCCAGTGGGTCAAGTCAGGGTGGCGCAGGAAGAGTCATACATTCACACACTGAAGAGCTACTGATGATTGGGCAAGGTGGTGCATGCCCATAATCCCAGCAACTCGGGAGGCGGAGACAACAGGATCTGAGGCCAGCCTCATCCACTTAGTGAAGCCCTAAGCAACTCAGTGAGACCCTATACCAAAATAAAAGAGAAAAATGGCTGGGGATGTAGTGAGTGGTAAAGCACCCCTGGGTTCAATCCCCAGTGCTGAGAGCCACAGCCGAGTGATACATGGCATTTTTGCCAGAACGGAGTAGTTGAGAGGTGAGAGGTGACGCCAGCAAGCCATTGAGATGATGATGGTTATGTTAGGCTGTGTATTCAATTGTATATTAGACCCCTGCTATCCGACTCGCCCGCTACTTTGGAGTTCTCGCAAGGATTCCTGGAGAGTTCGCATTGGTTGGGGAAGTGCCGGAAGTGTCAGAGGAGGGATTTCCGAATAAAGGAGTTCCTGTTTTGAACCTAAAGTGCCTCGTGGCAGCTGGGGTATTTTGTGCCCAGCCAGACTGCGGCACCCCAGTACCAAAAATAAAAAAATTTTAAATGAACAGATAAAAGGAAAGCTCTGTGTACTCTGTTGAGAACATGATATAGGGCCAAGAGCAGAAGCAGAGAGACCACTGAGGGGCCCAGTAGTGATCAATCCCACAGGCAGATAAAAACATGATGGTAACAGGACAGCAAGCAGAGCAGCACTAGGCAGGGTGGCCGGCCACAGTCTCCTGCCAGGAAGCAAATGAAGAGTGACATTTCAGCCAGGCTAAGGCACCAGGAGTGGAGAGACAGGCAGGACAGAGCACATCTAGGAGACACAATCAAAAGAACAGGGACAGAAAGAGGACCAAAGGGTAGAGAAAGCTTCTGACTCAAGTGAACAGAAGGGTACCTGAGAGTGTCGGGCAGAGAAAGAAAATACAAACAGAAGGGCTTCGGCTTCCAGCCTGAAAAAAAATTGAGGGATCTCTCTCCAGGAGACATGCAGCTCTTCTCTCTCCCTCAATCTTACAGGAAAGAAATTTTTTATCCTCAAAACTGGCAATCCATCCATCTAGCTGCTCCAGTCGGAAAACTGGGAGGCATCTGACTTTCTCAGCTTCAGATCCAACTCACTATAATCTCTCTTCTGTCTTCTCATCACTTACTCTACCAGCACCCACATCTAATCCCTGGGCCACTCACCTGGAGGTCCCTGATTGGTCTTTCTCTCTTGTCCCTAACACACTCCTTACTCTTGGAATTTTTGTTTTGTTTTTTTTTGTTTATTTATCTGGGTACAGGGATTGAACCTAGGGCCTCATGTGTGTCAGGCAAGCACTCTACCACTGAGCCACATCCCCAGCCCCACTTCTCACTCTTCTTGAAGTCAGAATGTTGCATTCCCTTTTTTTTTTTTTTTTTTTTTTTGGTACTAGGGATTAAACTCAGAGGCATTAGACTACTGAGCCACATCCCCAGCCCTATTTTGTATTTTTAAATATTCAGAGACAGGGTCTCACTGAGTTACTTAGCACCTCGCTCTTGAATTTATGATCCTCTTGCCTCAACCTTCTGAGCTGCTGGGATTACATGTGTGAGCTACCACACCCAGCCCAGAATGTTGCATTCTAAAATAAAAACTGGATCGTGCCAGTCCTAGCTCAAAACTTGGCTTCCTACTGGCATTAGGCTCCAAAATCCTGCCTGATCTTGGCCCTGCTTACCTATGCAGCCTTATCCCAGGCCACTTGCCCTCATGCTCCCTATAGAGACCCAACTTGCACAGCACCTGTCAGATAATAAATATTCAGCACATTTGTGAATAAATGACAGCGATGTTTCAACTATTAGTTTGGGGCTATAGACCAAATGGGCCCCACAGGATCACTCTGCTACCCAGGACTGAAACACTTCAACTGGGAATGACTATGGCAGTATCCTGGACCACAAAGAAGAGTAAGAACAATTAGACAATTATCACCTGCCTTGCCATCTGGCAGCTGAGCTGCAGAGGTAGGAGCCTAAGGCTGAATACTCACCTCCTCAGCATTCTCCAAGTCATCTAGCCCTTCATCCTCCTCCACATCATCAAAGTCATCACCATCGAAACTGTTCAGGAAAAGAGATCAGTCACTTAGAGCCTTATCAGAATCAAAGAAGCAGAGCCAGGGACTGAGGTGCACATCTGTAATCCCAGTGGCTCGGGAAGCTGAGGCAGGAGAATCACAGGTTTGAAGCAAACCTCAGCAACTTAAGACTGTAAGCAACCTAGTAAGACCCTGTCTCAAAAAAAAAAAAAAAAAAAAAAAAAGGCTGGGGATGATGGGCTCAGTGGTTAAGCACCACTGTGTCCAATCCCTGGTACCATAAAAAAAAAAAAGTCAAAGAGTCAGAGATCTGAATATCTTAGCTGATCTGTAGGTGGCATTTGATAACTATCTACTTGATGATCAAATCAAACTTTTGTCTCATTTTACTCCTTCAATCTTACCCCATGGGTCCCCCAAATTTTGCTAAGACTCATTCATCATCACTGTTTCCTTCTCTACTGAATTACATTTAAACATAGTTATTTCCTCATCTTTTTTTTTTTTTGGACCTGGAATTGAACCCAGGTGCAACCCCTGGGCCACATTCCCAGCCTTTTTTTTTTTTTAAATATCTTATTTAGAGACAGGGTCTTGCTAAGTTGCTGAGGCTGTCTTTGATTTTGTGATCCTCCTGTTTCAGCCTCCCAAGTCACTAGGATTATAGGCATACGACGCTGCACCCAGCTATATCCCCATCTTAAAAAAACAAAACAAAACAAAAAACTTATTTGAAACTGGGGAATACAGTTCAGTGGTAGTGTGTACAGCATGCATGAAGCCCTGGGGTTCCATCCCCAATACCAAAACAAAACAAACAAAATCCCCAAAACCCCACAACAAAACCCACCTTTCTTTTCTTTTTCCTCCCTTCCACAATCCTAATTCCAAGTGCTCTCTTGGTGCAAAATCTGTGACAAAGCTGTCCAACTTCACTATCCCCAATTTCTCTCTCTCTCCCTTCTATCATAATCTTACTACAAGCTGGTCATAGTGGTATATGCCTATGATCCTAGAGACTCGGGAGACTGAAACAGGAGGATCACAGACTTGAGGCCAGGCTCAACAACTCAGAAGAACCTTGGTAATTTAGTGAGGTTCTGTCTCAAATTAAAAAAGGAGTTGGGGGCTGGGGTTGTGGCTCAGAGGTAGAGTGCTCACTTAGCATGTGTGAGGCACTGGGTTCAAATCCTCAGCACCACATAAAATAAAGATATTGCGTCCACCTATAACTAAAAGATAAATATTTTTTTTAAAAAAAGGAGTGGGGATGTGGCTTAGCAGTAGAGCCCCTGGGATCGATCCTCAGTATCAATTCCTCCCCCGCCCCCACCCGCAGGGTGCGGTGGCGCACGCCTATCATCCCAGGGGCTTGGGAGGCTGGGGCAGGAGGATCGTGAGTTCAAAGCCAGCCTCAGCAATGGCGAGGTGCTAAACAACTCGATGAGACCCTGTCTCTAAATAAAATACAAAATAGGGCTGGGGATGTGGGTCGGTGGTCAAGTGCCCCTGAGTTCAATCCCCGGTACCAAAAAAATCCAGAATTTAAACCCACTTCTCACTACCTCTGCTACATCACCCGGTCCCTGCGCACACACCATCCTCTGGAGGCCTCTCATTTGCTATTTCCACTGCTACGACCCCGCAGGGTCTGCCTATGGGTCTGTCCCTCTTCCAGAAAGGGAGCGCCTGGAGAGCGGGGGTCCACTTAATTCATCTCAATATATTAATTCCACCCACGACACAGTGGTGCACTGCTCGGTGCAGTCTGCTGGAACTCAGCTTTCCCGCTGCTCCACTCCGTCGCTGCCCAGCTTCGGGCGGGTGCACGCTCCAGTGCCGGCCCCTCGACACACCGCGCGATGCCAGGTTCGCCACCCGCCTTCGTCCAGGCCCCGCCTCACCCGTCCCTCCCGAGGTTCCAGCGAAGGCCGTTCCACTCCCGCACTCACTTGTCCTCGTTGTCTGACATGACGCCCTTTGCTTCAGTAACCCGGTCCCCCTGTCCTGACCCGCGCGCAGAACCACAGGGAGCGACCCTCCGACCAGCGTGTTACCAGCGTATCCTGCGCCTGCGCCTGCGCCGTGACCCCGAGGAAACCACTTCCGGGAAGCCGGAGGCGCGGCAGAAATGCGCACGCGCCGCTCGGCCTGCTGGTTACCATAGTAACCAGAGCCGCTGGCTACGGCGCTGGTGCCTGGAATTCCGCAGCTTTTGTGCCTGGCGCCCGCGCGAGAGCGGTGGTCACTTGGAGCCCGCCAGCCGCTCTGCATGAGGAGGGGACACCAGCGGGGGCCTAACAATAGAGTGAGGTTTCAGTTTTATCCTGTCACCCAATGGGGACCTCCGCTATGTTAAAGATGTGTCCTCCCGAGGGGATTCACCTTTCGCAGGCACCAGGGGTCAGGATAGGGGCTCTGTTATCTAGCTTGGGTGGAGGTTAGGGGATCGGCCCTGTCGCAGTATTAACTTGGGTGTCCCAGTTGACCCCACTCCCAGAGGGTGGGGGTGAAGGAGCAGAGATTGGGACTGGGAAACTGGGAGGGTCTGCGTGTGTCTTTCTCTTCTAGGCCCTGGCATGGCCTCACAGAACAGAATGGAGGCAGTGACCAAAGAAACAGCGTTCTGGCGCTGCCCCAAGTCGACCGCTTATACCCCAGAGACCCGAAAGCTGCTCAAAGGTGAGTGTGTTAAGAGGACACAGGTGGGGGAGCAGTAGTAGCAGTTACCCTGTGTAACTCTGTTCTCCTCTACTCTACATGACCTGTGGCTGGGGACACAGTGGCTATTCTCTTACGAACAAGGATCCTGGGGTTCAGAAAGGTTCAGTGTGCTACTGCTGACCAGGAGCTAAAAGTCAAAAAAATAAGAATTTTGGAGTAGTTTATTTCTATGCATTCTTTACCTCCCACTCTCAGTGTTCCCCAGGAATCCTTATCTCCTCCCCATACCACCATAGTGGGACCAGTGGTTAAGTGCCCTCAAAGAACTGTTAGACCAGGACACAAGAAAAGACCACTGACTCCAATTAAAATCAAATTAAAGCAAGCTTATTATTTCTGCTGCTTCTCCCTCCCAAAACGGCGGGAACAAGACAGCACCCCACCTTTCCTACAGCCCAGCTTTATAGCCCAGAAAGTTACACAAAGGGGGGTTACAGATAACAGAACTCTGACAAGCATCACACTAATGGTAGTTTACTTTTTTTTTTTTTGCTGGCCCCAACATCAGAATTTATGAGGACCATTAGAGCCTCAGAGAGGGTCGTTGTCTGGCCAGGGAAGGCCAATATTTATGAGGTGTCACTAAAGTTTCAGAGAGGGCTGCTATCTGGTCAGAGAGTCAGGCATGGGTGAGTTCAAGGCACGGGCAGGCATTCCAAGCAGGTTCAGAATTTGCAGTAATTTATAGTAAAGCTGAAATTATCTTTTCATGGCTTTGTGGCAAAATGGCTCCCAATTTTAATAAAAGATCAGGTTGGGTCTATCAGAACCCAATCTCCCTACACTGGGTTCAGCACAACCTATAGCTAGATATTTAGTGTCCCATCTACACCTCTAGATAGTAGATTCCATCAGGCAGGGAGTGGTCAGTTTCTGCTCACAATTGTAGCTCCAGCCCCTGACACATGATCGAATAAGTATTCATTCATTTACTCCACAACAAAAAAATGTTTAAGCCTACTCTGTACTTTGAGCACTGTTCTAGATGCTGGGGATATAGCAGTTAAAAAAAAAAAAAGCTGTAAAAAAATTCTTGCTCTTATAGAGCTAAGAGTTTAGTAGCATAATAAATAATAAATAAAATTTAGGACTAGGGTGTAGTTCAGTGGTAGGGCGTGTGCTTAGTATGCACGAGGCCCTGGTTTTGATCCCTAGCATGTGCACACAGGTGTGTGTACCACACACACAAAACTTAGCCATTGCCTGGAGATGTAGCTCAGTAGTAGAGCCCTTGTCTGGAATACACAAGCCCTGGGTTCAATCTCCAGTACTGAAACAAATTAAAAAACAAAACAAACAAACAAAAAACATCCATAGCCAAGCATGGTACCACACACCTGTAATCCCAGCCCTCAAGTGGCTGAGGCAGGAGGATTGTAGGTTGAGGGCAGCCTTGGACAATTTAACAAGACCCTATTTCAAAAATAAAAACAGGGGCTGGGGTTGTGGCTCAGAGGTAGAGTGCTCACCTAGCATGTGTGAGGCACTGGGTTCAATTCTCAGCACCACAAAAAGTAAAATAAAGACATCGTGTCCACCTGTAACTAAAAAATAAATATGAAAAAAAATAAAAGTAAAAGCAGGGATGCAGCTCAGTGGTAGAAGAGCCCAGGGTTCAATCCCCAGTACCACAAGAGAAGAAAATGGAGCAAGAAAGGGAGGGGGCGGGGGCTCAGCAGTAGAGCATCTGCCTAGCACATGCCAGGCCCTGGGTTCGATCCCCAGCACCACATAAAGATAAATAAAATAATGGTGTTGTGTCCAGCTACAATTAAAAAAAAATTAAATGAACATAAAAAGAAAGAGGGAGAGTGCAGTGCAGAATGGACTAGGAGGAGATACAGTTGCAGTATACAGTGAAATCATCTGCTGCAGCTCAGCCTCATGCAAGTGCTTTATTTTGCAGAGATGATGAAGGAATCCAAACTAACCAGCTTCCAGCAGCGCTACCTCACGGACACTATGAGAAGTAAGAGGTGTTCAGTCCACAGAAGCTTCCTGGGTGGAGGGATTGGGGACACTCCCCCTTCCTCCTCACCCCCAGTATTGGGGACTGAAACCAGAGTCTCACAAAGTCACTGAGGCTGGCTTCAGATTTGTGATTCTCCTGCCTCAGTCTCCTGAGTTGCTGGGATTCCATGCACCACCACACCTGGCTTGGGGCCACATTTTTAAAGCTCCTCCATGTTAAGAGGGATAGAATCTCATTTTAAAAGGAAAAAAAAAATTGAATACATAGTATTCCTGACCCCTAGTCCTTGGGAATTGACCTTTTGTGTGGCCTTTGCTACTTTTGACAGGCACAATAAGCCCCCTACAGGCAGGCTGTCACTGACCTTCCTAAGAAACTGTGGCCTAAGCAAGACTCCCTTCCCATCCACAACAGCCTCAGCACTGGAGTGTCTGCAGTCTGCATGTCTGAGGCAGGAGGATCAAATTCAAGGCCAGCCTGAACAATTTAGCAAGACCCTCTCAAAATAAAAAGGGCTGGGGATATAGCTGATGGGTACAGCTCTCCTGGGGAGAGGTGGGGGGACATGCCAGAAGGTCCAAGCTTGCAGAATTTTGCTTGATCTACCAAAACTGTCGCCTTCTCTAAAGATGACGAGGGCACCCAATCCCCCCCACAAGCAAAGAGGAATGTCAGGGGCAAATATGGACAGGGAAGCTCTGTTCACCAAGTCAGGGGTCAGATCTCCTTCCTCATTGTGGACAAGGACAACTCAGACTGCAAAAGGCTAGTGCCATCACATGTTTCAGTCATATAACCTCCACATGCAGCAGTCTGATAGTGTGGTGTCTCCTGTTAGCATAACCATAGAGAATGTGCTAGAAGTCCCACTGAAAGTCAATACTGTCATACCAAAGACTGTCTCCTTTGCTCAGCACAGTAACCCAGCACCTGGGGCAGGTGCATGATTCGTACTGAACTGCTGGTTACATCAGTGGTTGGACAACACAAGCGACTACTTTGCCTAGCAGCCTCGTTTTCCTTAGATGTTTTATTTTTAAAAATTTGCCTTCAAGTCTGGGTGTTGAGCCTGGCTTCTCTTGGAGTTCCTCCCCTACGTTTCTTCTCTTAACCAAATCCTACCAGTTGCTTTGAGCCTTAGTTCAAATACTGCTGCAAGCCACAAATCCCTCCCCTCACTGGAAGGCCAGAATTATTTGTTGAGAAGGGGCCAAAGGAAGAGGTTGAACTGGAGAGTGGGAGGTGTGAAGGACATGCTGGGAATCAGCATTTCTTCAGGAAAAAGAAAAAGGCATGTAGAGGCTAGAGCCCTGGGTAGAGGGCCTGGGAAGGGAAGGTCTGTCCTTGCAGTTTTGGGAGTTATCCTTGACTCCCCTTTCTCCCAAACCCCACATCCGCCCTTTCTACGCGACCTTCAACCCTCCCACCTTCTCGCTGGCCGCCATGGCTGCACACTACCTGAGTGGCTCCCAGCTGTCCTTCCTCCCCTGCCCTCAGCCCTGGGCTTCAGATTTTCAACAGCAGCCCACAGAGGGCATGTCTTTTTCTCAGAACCCTCCAACTAGGCTGGGGTTGTGGCTCAGCAGTAGAGCACTTGTCTAGCACGTGTGAGGCACTGGGTTCAATCCTCAGCACCACAGAAAAATAAATAAAATAAAGGCATGCTGTCCATCTACAACTAAAAAAAAAAAAATGGGGTGGAGAAGAGAAGGGGCCCAATGACCAGATAGGAGAGACACTTGGATAGCCTGGGGGAGGAGCCCAGGCATGGGGCAACAGGGGGGATGTATAGCAGGTGGCATTTGTGTCTATTACCATCCAAACTGTTCCCACTAGTCCGTGGACCAAGCAAAGAGAAAACAGAAATAAAAACAGCAGGACAAAGATGCAGTGTACAGAGTGTTTATTGCAGCATTGTTTGTAGTAGTAAAAAACCAACCAACAGAAAACCTGGAAACAAGTTGAACTTCCAAAACTAGGAGATAACTGAATAAATAAGGTAACCATTCTAATGACTAGTATATAGCTATAAAAAATAAGTTATATATAAACAGATTTTTCTGGAAAGATGTCCACATTAAATGGTTATGTGAAAAGGGACTGTTACTGACTATTATACAATATGATCCAGTGTTTGAAAAAAGAATCTTATGTGCACATAAAAAATATATGCACACATCTTTGAGCATGTTTATATAAGCATCAAAAAGCAAAGAGACCACCAAATTGTTCCCACTGCTCATTGTAGAGGGGTGGGCTTAGTGGGGATAAGAAGATTCTGCTGCACCATTTGACTAGTAAGATGAAGGAAAAAAAAAAAAAAAAGCCATGAGACCCTTCCACCCCCAGGAGGAGACCCTTTGCCCCTACAGTGCAATCCGACATCCAGCCAGCAAGGCTCACCTTCCAAACAGCTGCCACCAGCCACCCACCTGCCTCCCACCCTGGTAGCCCCGTCTCGCCTCCGGCCTGCCAGCATGTGCCGAGCCAACGGGGCCTACAGCCGTGAGCAGTTCAAGCCTCGAGCCACCAGTGAGTTGGAAGCCACCCACTTTGGCTGGGGACGGGGTGGGGGGGTGTTTGGAGACTATCTCAACTTGACAAGCTCAGGAGCACCCAGGAGGGAGGCTGCTGGGTCTGCACACCTGTCCCTTGCCAGACAGGCTGCAGCTCGATGACCCCCTGGACATGCAACCGGAGAGAGCTTTATGCCTCAACTAGGCCATTTGGGGGCCCTACAGGAGATCTGGAAAAGGAGAAGCAAAGACTCCAAACTATCCTTGCCACTGGGAAGGACCCGGCAGAATGGAAAAGAAAGGCAGCCCCTGTGCGGCAGCAGGACCCAGCTCCTGAGCCGGACCGCTTTGAAGAACGTGAGCCACTAGGGCAGGGGCAGGACCACTCCTCCCCCACTACACCCCCTTCATAGAGCCCCCTGCCCTGACACCCCTTTTCCTCTGTCTAGTTGTGAAGGAAGTCCAGGAGAGGAAGGAATTCCTGGATGCCATGGAGGCCCTGGGGCAGGGCAAGAAGTACCAAGGAATCATCCTGGCTGAAATCTCCCAGGTAGGAGGAACCAGGAAAGAGGGGAGGGGCGGGCCCAGAACGCGGAGTCAGAGTGAGGAGAAACCCCAGCCGGCACTGAGAGACTCGGGAGTTGAGCCACAACTCATCCTGATGCTCCTCAAGTTCCTAACCCTGATACCAACTTCCCCTGCTGCCCTTTGCAGAAACTACGGGAAATGGAAGACATTGACTGCAGAAGGACTGAGGAACTTAGGGAGGCTCTTGCCACCACTTAGAGACGGCAGGGCAGCTCACACTGGACCGCCGCAGCCCGCCCCTGTGCCAACCAGTGTCATCCAGGCCAGCCACTCATGTCAGATGGCTGCCCAGCATGGCACTGTCATAGACTGCAGATGCTGCTCAGGGATGCTGGGGACCACTGGTGGGGTCTCAGAGCCACCCAATGACAGGGCTTCAAGTCTTCTGGGGAAAGAGTCCCAGACACAGCAACAGTTAAGGCCCAAGGCTCACCACCTTGGAAGTGCGTCTGAGGGCATCTGTGGCTCTCTTCCCACCACCTCCAACTCCCGTGTCCTGCTCAGTTAGTTTCTAGACTTGGGGATGAAGACGAGCCTTCCCTCCCGTCTGTCTTAGGATCTACTTATTTGATGACTTAAAGCCTTGGGCAAATATTTAACAACAGTGATTAATTGGCCAATAAAACACATTTAACGTGGGTCATTACACGTACCACCTTGTTTTCACAGGGATAATGCTTATTTGCACAGAGTTAGACTTTGTCCAACATGGACGGTTTCTAGTTGCCTGTTTTGCACATTTCAAGAGGAAATGGGACTCACACTCTTGAGTACCCTATGGCCAGTAGCCATGGCAGGTGAACTTCAGTTAATGATCTCAATAGACGGCGTGAGGCTTCATCATCCCTTGTGAAAAATAAGGTTCAAGGGCATTTTAACTAGTGAACAGCCTTCTCAGGATTAAAAGTTACTTTAGGTCTAAATACAGACCAGAGCAGCAGCACACAGGGGTGAGAGGGACCCACGCTGACAGTGCGCCTGGCTTTGGGGTTCCAGCTGTAGCATGCACCATGTCTCCTTGTGCGCCCACGGCCTCAGCTCTGTTCCTGCATGTGGCTGGTCCTGGGCTGAAGGGTGGCTTAACAGTCACCTGACAGGAAAGCACACCCTGGCCTGGAAACACAGCATATTAGTCCCACACCTTGGGCTCCTGACACTCACAGGTCTCCTCCTCTAGTGTTCTGTCTTTTCCTAAACCCCCCACAAAAAAAAACCCTACCTGCTGTCCCCCACACCTCGAAGGAATCATAATCCTATCACGTCACACAACCCATGTTTTGTGTGCAGAATAAACATGGCTGTGCAGCAGCCAACCAAGAGTAGGATCAGGAACCCTCATGGGAAGCCTGTGTCCACACCCACAAGAGCCCAGAGCAGAAGCTGCAGTAGGACAGTACCTCCACTCACAGGCCACCGTCACATGACCCAGAGGCAGCAAAACAGAACCAGGGCAAATTCAGGCCAGCCCAACAAGTTCAGACCGGGCGTTCACAAATCACACACATACGAAATCTGAATCCCCAGTTTCTTTTGAAAAATGGAAAAGATTTGGCAACCCTGGGTCCACGTACATTCCCACAGGCTACAGTGGACTACAGTGAGGGGCCCTAATGCTGGCAGAGTCCTCCCAGTCTACCTACACCCAACCCAGGTCAAGTGTGTTACCTGCCTGGTTCCTGAAAGGCCTTAAGGTGGTGACCTCAGCCCAAGGTCAACAGGCACATTCAGCAAGAGACTGCCAGAGGCTGCCCAGGTGTGGAGAGGAAGGGAATCCCGCCCAGGGGCAGGCAATGCAGGCCAAGGTCCCACTCAGTGGACAACCTTAGCATGGTCCCAGACCCTCCAAGGCAGGCAGAAATACCTGGCCATGGAAGTGGGGAAGAGGCAGACAAGAAGGCAAATGTGGCCATGGCCTGAGGCTGTCCCCATTGAATGTTGTTGAGGAATGTCCCCAAGTTAATACAGTGCGATCTTGTCCCCCAGGGGCATGGAGGAGGGGGCCTGGAGGCCCCCAGAGCTTATGACACAGTGTTTTGACCAAGAGCTGCCAGGCACATTCCCTGGGCAAAAGTGACATCACCATCACTTGTCCCCTCCCACAGTCCTCAAGTGGGAATGAGTCCGGGAGAGGACAGACAACAAAGGAGACAGACGGGTGATGACCACAGAGGGGAGCGGGCCCCAGGCCCTGGGTGGGGAGGAAGCCTCAATCAGGTTAGCACCTACCTGGAGCACCCTCCCTAGGCTGATGCACGGGACCAGAGCTCTGACTGGGTGGCCTCCAGAGGCCATGTCCAGGGGACTCGGCACTGGGGCAGCTAACAGGAGCACCCACCTGCCCCAGCATGGCCACCAGGGCACTGTGGCGTCTGGGAAGTAAGTCTTCCCACAGAACAGGGGAGGTGAGGGAGAATCTCCTAGAACTCGGAGGCAGAGGAGGTGGGATCTGCCCAGCACAGACCACTCAGTAACTCATTTGAACTTAACTGCAGACTTGATAAATAGAGCTCCTGAGCAAGGTGACATGAGATTCTGGGCACCTGCACTGGACAGAAAGACAGACTCAGGCTGGGCAGGAGGAGGCCAGCACAGCCCGTCCCGCTTCGGCCCGTTAGCGGGGCAGAGCTAGGCCAGCGCCTACAGAGAAGAGAGGGGAGGCCGAGGAGCTGCCCCGCCACGGCAGGGACCATGGAGCGAGCGGGTGGGTGTGCGTGGCCACTGCCCCTCCCTGGACTGGAGTCCCTGCTTGCCTTTGGGTCTGTCACAGCATCTGGCATCCTCAGATCTGACTGGGCGGGGCTGGGTCACAGCTGTCTGGAGTGCAGAGAAGAGGGAGGGAAACTCTGGCCCAGACAGACGGAGACCTCAGTGGGGGAGGCTCACCCAGAGACACCCTCCCCTTGAGTCACCTCCCCCTTGACTGATCCACGGCAGCAGGGGGCTCCCTCCAGCCCGTGAGGATCCAGGAGGAGACCGTCCCAGCAGCTTCCCTCCCTGTCAGCTCTTGTCCCCAGGGGACTTGCTCTTTGTGTCACGCTTATTTCCCAGCAGCTTCAGCATCTTCATGGTCTTGAACTTCCCCTTTTTCTTGCCCTCGGGTTCAGCCTCCCTCTGGAACTCTGAGCAGAGAAAGGGAAAGATTTGACTCGAGGGAGTCCCTCCGGGACAGGCTGGGGTGAGTGGCTTGTGTCACTGGCCAGGTGTGTGGCTAGCAGGACGGCCCCCACCAGCCTGTGTGAAACTGAGCAGTCACTTCACCATCCCAGGCTTCCCTTACTCCCTACAGGTTAGGGATCCTCCTTGCCCGGTGTCTTGGCAAGGACCACAAGAACAATCTGGGTGCCCTGTCACTTCAGCTACATGGGCGCACGACTCTGTGGGCTGCAACACAAGCACCAACACTCAGAGCGAGAGGAAACTCCGGAAATGACCTCTCCCAGCTCCGAGTTTTAGCCTCTGAGATGAGCCAATCCCAGCTGAGCTTTTGTGGGTGCCAGGTCCCAGGCTAAGGGCTCCCCACCTGCTCCCCCTGTGATCCTCAGCAGTGCCAGGGAGGCAGCGCTTGGTACCCCGGTCTGCAGATTCAGAAAGGCTACGCGTCACCCAACGCATCCATGTCAGAGCTTGGACTGCATCCAAGCAGCCTGACTCCAGCCCAAGTGGGGACAGTGAGCGGCTGGTGGAGCTAAGACCAAACCCAGACCAGCTTGCAGGCCCAGGCTTCCTGCCGTTCCAGGCACTGTCTGATGCTGAGCGGGCGCCACCATCTGGGCCCACACACCCCACACCACCAGCTTGCAGACCAGGAAGGAGACACCCAAGGGCAACCCATCCTGGGGCTGGAACTGTCCCCCACACACCAGCCCTCCGTGTGGCTTCTGGCTGTCGGCTGGCCTACCTTGCTCCAGCGGCCTCAATAGAGACAGAGTCTGCACACCGGCTCCTGCTGGACTGCACCTGCTCCACCCGCCCCTCTCCTTCCACCCCCAGGCTGAAAGCAGGAGTTGAAGAGGGAAGAGGCCCAGAACCAGAACTGTCCTCCCCTGGGGACAGGCTTCACCTTCCTCCTTTACTATTTGTCTCATTCTTGCAGCACTGGGATCAAATCCCGGGCCTGTGCATGTGAGGCAAGCAGCTCTACCACGGCTACACCCCACCCCTTTTAAGTTTTTAAAAAATGTTTGGTACCAGGGATTGAACCCAGAGGCGCTTAACCACTGAGCCACACCCACAGCCTTCTATTTTTTATTTTGAGACAGGGTCTCGATAAGTTGCTTAGGACCTTGTGAAGTTGCTAAGGCTGGCCTCAAACCTCCCAAGCACCTGGGATTACAGGTGTGCACCCCCATGCATGGCTTAATTTTATTTTGAGACGGGGTCTAAGTTGCCCAGGCTGGCCTTGAACTTGAGATCCTCCTGTTTCAGCTTCCCAAGGAGCTGAGGGTTACAAGTGTGCCCATCAGGCCCAGCCTCACCTTTCTTCTTGATCATGGCTTCCAACATCTTGTCTTCCTCTTCTTCTCTGAAATGAATAAAGGAAGCTGAGCACCCTCAGGAGGAAGGACCATGTCATGGTTTGGGTCTACAGTGTGTCCCCAAAGCCTTGAGCTGGAAGCACGGTCCCTGGCAGCAAGGTTCAGGCTGGGCCTCTTAGGCAGTGACTGGGTCACAAAGGCTCTGACCTCACCATCATGGATTAATCCAAGGATGCTGGGAGGCAGGAGGAAGTGGTTGGAGGAAGCAGGCCCTGGGGTGTAGGGTGAGGGGCAGGATTCATCCTCTTCCCAGCCCTTCTGCCAGGATGTTCTGCCTCACCTGAGGCTGGGGCAGTGGAATCTGCTGAACTGAATTCTCTGAAGCCATGAACCAAAGTAAACCTTCCCTCCTCTAGATTGTTCTTGTCAGGTTTTTTGGTCACAGTGACAAAAAACTGACTATCCCGGTATCTCTTCAAGTCCTTTCCAGCCTCCGAGTCCCCCCAGGCTGAGCAAGAGTGTGCCTGGATCACTGGTGGTCAGGGCAGGGCTGGCCTGGCCCTGGGGTGTGGGCCTGTCTTGGGCTCTGCCAGGGAGTTGTTTGACCCATGGGGCCAAAGGTATGGCCCACTCTGGGCCCCTCCCCTAGCCGTGTCACCTCTGCCGGTCCTCGTCCAAGCAGTTGACAATGGCATTGCGCTGCTCGATGAGGGTCACGAGCTCCTGCATCAGCACCTTCTCCCGGCCCCGATCTTCCTCGGTCCAGTCCTTCTCTGCCAGGGGAGAAGGGCCAAGGTATGAGTGGTGGTAGACCCTCCACCTCAGCACACCAGGAGCCACTACAGCATGCACAGGAGGGGCAGACCTTAGAAGTATTTGGGGGAAACAAAGGTCGTTATGGAAGAGACCAAGTCTGCTTAAAAAAAAGCACCCTTCAAGGGGCCCCGGGAGGGCCAGTGTGAGACCCTCTAAGAACAGAGGCTGGCACACCTACGGGGCCTCCCGCTCAGTTCACGCATCTGGGCAATAGATGGGCAAGATGGCCTCTTGCAGCAGACAGGACCCGGTGGGGAGACAGCAGGGACTCCCGGGGCTCCTCCTGCAGAGGCACTATGACCCAAGGGGCACACTGGGGCAGTCACCAAGGAGGAGGGAAGATGAAGGGGACACT